GCCGAAAGCCTCATCTTTCTCCCACATAATGGCTGGTAGTTTCGAACTGCTGACCTTGAAGTTAGCAGCCTGACTCATAACCACTATGTTACCAGAGCATCTTGGAGACCACATGATAGAATTCTGCAAAAGCAGTGATTTTTGCATTCCAAATACCTTTTTGAAACAGCATAAGAGATGACTATACACATGGACCTCACCAGATGGAATATATAGAAATCAAATTGACTACATCTGTGGAAACAGATGGAGAAAAAACTCCATATCATTAGCCAAAACAAGGCCAGGGGCAGATTGTGGAACAAACCATCAATTGCTTATATGCAAATTCAAACTGAAGTTGAAGAAAATGAAAACAGGTCCACGAGAGCCAAAATATGACCTTGAATGTATCCCACCTGAATTTAGAGATCATCTGAAGAACAGATTTGATACATTAAACACTAAAGAACAGAAACCAGAAGAGTTGTGGGATGATATCAAGAACATTATACAGGAAGAAAGCAAACAGTCATTGAGAAGACAAGAAAAACAGAAAAAATCAAAATGGATGTCAGAAGAGACTCTGAACTTGCTCTCTAGTGTAGAGATGCAAATGGAAGAAATGAGGAGATACAAGAGCTGAACAGAACATTTAAAAGATCAGCTCGAGAAGACAAAGTCAAATATTACAATGAAAGGTGCAAAAGACCTGGAGTTAGAAAACCAAAAGGGAAGAGTATGCTCAGCATTTCTCAAGCTGAGGGAACTGAAGAAAAAATTCAAGCCTCGACTTTCATTGTTGAAAGATTCTCTGGACAAATTATGGAATGATACAGAAAGAATCAAAAGAAGATGGAAGGACTACACAGAGTCACTGTACAAAAAGGAAATGGCCAATGTTCAACCATTTCAAGAGGTAGCATATGATCAAGAGCCAACGATACTGAAGGAAGAAGTCCAAGGTGCATTGAAGGAATTGGCAAAGAACACAGCACCGGGAATTGATGGAATACAATTTGAAATCTTTCAACAAAGTGAGGTGGCACTGAAGGCACTCACTCACCTCTGCCAAAAAATTTGTAAGACAACTATCTGGCCAACCAATTGGAAGAGATCCTTATTTGTGCCCATTCCAAAGACAGGTGACCCATTGGAATGTATAAATCATTGGATAGTATCTTTGATATCCCATGTAAGTAAAGTTTTACTCAATGTAATACAGAAATGATTGCAACCATACATTGACAGAGAACTTACAGAGGTACAAGCTGGATTCCGAAGAGGACGTGGAATGAGGGATATTATTGCTGACATCAGATAGATCTTGGCTGAAAACAGAAAATACCAGAAAGATGTTTACCTGTGCTTTATTGATTACACAAAGGCCTTCGAATGTGTGGGTCATGACAAGCTATGGACAACATTGCCAAGTATGAGTATTCCTGAACACTTACTTGTGCTCATGAGAAACCTGTACATAGACAAGGAGGCAGTTGTTCGAACAAAACATAGGAACACTGAATGGTTTAAAATTAGGAAGGTGTGCACCAGGGTTGTATTCTTTCACCACACTTATTCAACCTGTAAGCTGAGCTAATAATCGAGAAGCTGGATTATATGAAGAAAAACATGGCATCAGGATTGGAAGAAGACTCATTAACAACATGGGATATGCAGATGATACAACCTTGCTTGCTGAAAGTGTTTTGTTGTTGTTATGTGCCATGGAGTCGGTTCTGACTCATAGTGACCCTGTGCAGGGTTTCCAAGGCTGTAAATCTTTATGGGAGCAGAAAGCCTCATCTTTCTCCCACGGAACAGCTGTTAGTTTCGAACTGCTGACCCTGAGGATAGCAGCCCAATTCGTTAGAGGACTTAAGATATTTACTGATGAAGATCAAAGACCACAGCCTTCGGTATGGATTGCATTTCAATGTAAAGAAAACAAAAATCCTCACCACTGGACCAATAAACAACATTTTTATCAACAGAGAAAAGATTGAAGTCATTAAACACTTCATTTTTCTTGGATCAATCATGAACACTCATGGAAGCAGCAGCCAAGAAATCAAATGCATATTACATTAGGCAAATCTGCTGCACAAGTCTTTTTTAAAGTATTGAAGAACAAAGATGTCAGCTTGAGGACTAACATACACTTGACCCAAGCCATGGTATTTTCAGTAATCTCATATGCATATGAAAGTTGGACAGTGACTATGGAAGATGGTAGAAAAATTGATGCATTTGAGTTATTGTGTTAGCAGAGAATATTGAAAGTACCATGGGCTGCTAAAAGAACCAACAGATCTGTGTAGGAAGAAGTGCAGCCAGAGTGCTCCTTGGAGGCCAGAATGGCCAAACTTCGTCTCTCATACTTCAGACATATTGTCAGGAGGATCCAGTCACAGGAGAAGGATATCATGTTTGGTAAGGTGGAGGGTCAGAGAAAAAGAAGACCCCCCAGCACAATGGATTGGCACAGTGGCAGCATCAATGGTCTCAAATATGGCAACAATTGTGGGTTTAACCCAGTACTGGGCAGTGTTTTGTTCTGTTGTGCATAGGGTCACTATGAGTTAGTACTGACTCGATGGCACCTAACAGCAACAGCAAGCATTCTACTTCAATCATAAACTTAAATTGAGTTTAGATGAAAACAAAATATTATAGACTGCTGCTTGCCTTATTTTACTTTCTCTGGGTCCCAGATTCTAGTCATAATCATGAGGTTTGTGTTCATTTGGTATCTGCATACAACTTTACTTGTAAACATCCTTGCATTTATAACATTGTTGTTTTGTTTTTAAATGCCGTGGTGCCAGCTCTGATTCATGGCAACCCTGTATAAGGATTCCAAGGTTCAGCTCGTGAATTTGAACTTCCAACCTTGTGTTTCACACTGACCTTGTGGCCCAATGTTTATCCTACAGCACCACACCAGAACTCCATAAATTATAACATTATATTTCAAGAAAGATAAATGTTTAAAGGTTACCTTTATATTGTTGTTAACTGTCACTGAGTCAGTTCTGACTCATAGAGATCATGAATAGGGTTTCCAAAGAGCAGCTGGTGGGTTTGAACTGCCAAACTTGTGGTTCAAACTGACCTTGTAGCCCAGCGCACTATCCTGCAGCACCACAGTAGGATTCTTCAATTTCATCATCACTGGATTTAGTGGTTGGTGCATAAATTTGAATCAACTCACTGGCACTTAACAACAAAAACAACAATGCAGGAGTTGATATTTCACTAAATTGGAAATATTCACTTTACTCATGTTCAGTTAACACTGGAAGAGATCTCATGTATTATATAGTTCAAATGCCCACTCACATGTGGGGCCATCTTCCTCCTTCCCCATAAATGTAGTCACCATCGGAACATTTCCAATATTAGGAAACTCACACCAGCATTAGGTATCTTTATCAGCCAGAAATCCTTTTTTGGCCAAATGATAAAATTTTGGTAGTATTGGTGTAATTCTACTTCTTCTGCTTTGAGGATATCTTTATGGTCAGGTAATATAAATGACAAAAAGACTCAGTCAAAACCATTAGGAAATGCATTATTGGTATCACAAAAAAGTGAACAAAATGAAAATATTGTAGAAGAAACCAATATGTAGTCAGTAAGTAGCCTTTGTTCTGAAATGGGCTCTCTACATGTAAACCTCATTTCCTTGTCAAGTGAATATGAACCATCGGTTTCATTTTACAGTGCATTTACGCAAATGAAAAGTCCAAGATTGTGCTAACTTTGAATAATTGGGGTATTAAAATCCCATCTTTTGGACAAAAAATCCAAAATAAAATATATTTCTAAACAATCAACTGTTTCTTTTCTATCATTCCTTAAATATAATGGTGGGTTTCTGACCAGTAAAACAGATTTTATTTGAAAAATCAAAATTAATTAGAGCTATTGTCACACCTCTGAAAGACAAGGAAGGCTGTAATTTATACTTCCATTAGCAAATAATGTAATTTCTAGTCCTACATAGATATAATTCAAACATAATTATTTTAATTTCTACAACTAATTAAGTTATTCTATACACTATTTCTTTGATATCTAACTTTTATATTGGTTCAGAGGAATGCTTTTACATACATACTTCTCAAATGAACGAGCAGAAAATATTCTCATATTTTAGTGCAAATAATGGTCTCATTCTGTTTGTCTGCCAACTGCACATTTCCAGAAGAGGTATTTTTATAAGTGAAATATGATTTTTTTGTTTTTGTTTTTACAATGACATGTAAAAAAAACACTCAGAAAAAATACTTCAGAATGGAAGGCTGGTTTGATTGGCCAACCAATGTGAGTATCTATTATATGTGTAGAAATACGGTATGCTGGCATGTTCTAGGTCAGATAATGACTATTTTTGTCAGTCAAGTTAGTATTTTTGTCAAACTGCCTTACAAATAGTTTGTTGCTATTGTTGTTAAGTGCCAAAGAATAGATTCTGACTCAGACTCATAGGTACCCTGTATAGAGCTTCTGAGGAGCAGCTGGTGAGCGTGAACCGCCGACCTTGCTGTTTAAACTGACTTTGCAGTCCAGCACATTAACCCACAGGGCCACACCAGGACTCTATATAAGTCACTCAGAATAAGCTTGAAATCATGTAAAAAGAAATAAAACAGGAAATTAATTGATAAAAAATAATATCAAAGATACTTCCAGGGATCACTTAAATATTTTATCAGTACATCTTACACAGAGATATAATATTTTGTTTTTCCTCCTTCTTTTGTCAGTGTAAGACTATTTCTAGTAATGAGTTGGTCTTTGATTGCCTTTTGACATCCTTGAGTAGATCTGTATGTGCCTTGCCTCATTCAAAGACCTATAAAAGTGTAAGATTAGTGATATATATATTCCTTAAGTAACATTGGAGAATGTGATGCTCAGCTCACCTCAATGGTTACAAAATCAATTGCAAAGAATGTTTCACAACTGAGGAGTGTGCATCATAACTTAATATTACACATCTTTCATGTTTGCAGATTCGATACTGGGCTGCGCATGACAAAGAAGCAGCTGCACACAGAGTTCAAGTCACCAGCCAAGAGTATTCAGCCAGGATGGAGAACTTGGTGCCAGACACTCAGTACTTTGTGGAGGTCAGGGCCTGCAACAGTGCAGGGTGTGGTCCACCCAGTGAGGTGATTGAAACCTTCACCAAGAAAGCACGTGAGTCTCAACGTTTCAATTTTATTGTTGCTGTTGTGTGCCATTAAATCTGTTCCAACTAATTACAACCCTATACAGAGTTTCTGAGAGTGACTGGTAGGCTTGAACTGCTGACCTTGTGGTTAATAATCCAGTGATTAATCTACAGTGCCACACTGGAATCAACATTTTGATTTTAGATTTGTCAAAAACTACATTTTATTCAATCAAGAGAAAGATACATTTGAGAGAAATTTACTATCTATCAAGGTTAAGGCATTTGGTTTTCCATTATAACCTTTTGGGTAACACAGGATTTTCTTCTTTTTTCTACTTTGCTGGTTATTAAAAATAAGGAAAATTGTGGAAACTGCCTCCAAACACGTAATATTATATTATAGAAGTAAAAATTACAGGACTCCTCTTTGTAAATACATTCTTAAAAAGTTTATGCCATTTGAATTTTAGCTTGTCTACATTCTATTTTTATTAATTTAAGCATTATTTTCATAGGATTGCATGAAAAATTAGAATCCTGCTCATTCATCTATGCTTTGATTCATAACCCACTAGTATTCCACTGTGCAATTGCATGCTAGATGTACTACCATTATGTTTTTGTTTTTTTTTTACTGACTTGTATTTTCATTACTTGTATACAAAAACCATGTGGAACTCATATCTGTCTTCCTCTGGTTTCACAAGCTAGAAAGAGAATCAGACTCAAAATCAGCTCAAGGTAATTCCTGTGAAGCGGAAGTCAGACATGCTTCTACCCTACAACCTTCTTTACCCTATTCTGACACCAACCATTCTTCCCACAGCACTGCTTCACATCCGAGTTCAATAATCCATTGCAGTGGCCACACAGAACGCATAACAACACTCACGATTATGGGGTATATTAGGGAAGTGATCAGGCTACAATTTAGGATCAAAACCAATCCAGGATGCAGCAGTTCTCCAGTCAGGAGGGTCTCTTCTTGTTGGCCATACTGCAAGCAAGCCTCACTCTTGTCTTTGGCCTTTCAGCCATGTGGTCCTTTGTCCTCTGCCCTGCTCAGGCATGTGTTACAATGTTCCTTTAGCCAGTCTGTGAATGCCCAAAGGACACATTTTTCTCAAGTCAGTCTCTTGCCTGTAGGGACTCAGCTTTACTCAGTCCATAGACCTACAGCCCAAAGCTGTTCTGTCTCTCTATGCCACTGCCTCTTCCTTCACCTCTGCTGGAGTCTTCACCATCACTGTTTCTCATGCTTCACTCATGTTCTTCCTTCTTCAATGTCCTGGAATCTTTCATATCTGCTTCTGAGATGACTCCTTTTAAACGTAGCTGGAGTATAACACTAATCCCAAACTTAGAGTCTTGTACACCTTAGTTGCATTGTCCTACCCAATAGGTGGGAATTAACGAGACTTTGGAAAGAAAAGCCATATCAAATAAATTCAAGGCATCACAGGCCACCCCCTGGCTTTTCTAGTCATTGTCTTTCATAAATGAAGGATTAACACAACCCCCCCTTTCAGTTATACATCTGCAATTACCAGTTTTGACAATCACAATTAATCCTACTAACAATTACTCAAATCATAAAATCCTATCACCATCATCCCCCACTCTCTTTTCACCAGACAGTCTGGAACCATCCTCCTTTGTTCGAGTGTTTCTCCAACATCACCCAAAACATTATGGGTATTTCAGGTCTCATAAGGATTTTGTGTCCTTCGGTCATTGAGTAAGTTTCAATAAAAGCCCAGTGGTTGTTATTGTTAGATGCCATCAAGTTGGTACCAACTCATAGAGACCATATGCACAACAGAATGAAACACTGCCCAGTCCTTGGCCAACCTCACAATTGTTGCCACACTTGAGCCCTGTGATGCTGCCCATTAGCCAATCCATCTCACTGGGGGTCCACATCTTTTTTTATGACCCTCCACCTTACCAAACATGATATCCTTCTCCAGCAACTGGTCCCTCCTGACAATATGTCCAAAGTATGAGAGACAGAGTTTGGCCATCCTGGCCTCCACGGAGCACTCTGGCTGTACTTCTTCCAACACAGATCTGTTGGTTCTTTTGGCAGCCCATGACACTTTGAATAATCTCTTCCAACATCATAACTCAAAAGTATCAATTCTTTTACAGTCTTCTTTATTCACTGTCCAGCTTTCGCATGCATATAAGGTTATTGAAAATACCATGGCTTGAGTCAGGTGCACCTTAGTCCTCAAGCTGGCATCTTTCTCTTCAACACTTTAAAAAGGTCTTGTGCAGCAGATTTGCTTAATGCAATACATCTTTTAATTTCTAAAATGCTGCCTCCATGAACATTGATAGTTGAGCCAAGAAGAATGAAGTCCTTGACAACTTCAGTCTTTTCCCCATGGACAAGAACGTTGTTTATTGGTCCAGTGGTGAGGATTAGGTTATGAAAATTCATTATACACATTTAAGAAAAAAGAAACCATTCATGAGATAGTGGTATGTCAAACATGGTTTGCAGTTGGCCTCTGCCAGCTATTAATTATGTGACAGTAGACAAATTACCTCTCCTTTCTAAATCTCAGTTCTTCTAATCTTTAAAGGAAACATTCAACCCTTTGTTCACTTTTTCATTTATTTATTTACTTACCCATTCAATCAAAGTTATATATGTACCCACCACTGTACTAAGTATTGAGGATACAAAAAGAATCAAGTCAGACTCAGATTCTTTTCTCTTGGTGTTTGCAACCTAGTACAACAAAGTGCCAAGCAACTTAAAAACCTAGCAGAACAATTTATATTAAGTCTGAAAGCTTGAAAATAATCCTCTGTTTTCAGAGAACATCTTGACAATGACCTTGCCCTCCAGACTCGGGTGTTGGCAACACACTCTGGATTCTGGGTAGAGGCTCCTCAAATCTGGGCTTCAACTCTGCCATCTGGATCTACTAGAATGGCAACTCAGCTGCCTTGGGTTAGGCAGCCCCATTCTCCCAGTCAGTCTGAGTGCTGATCCCACATGGTTGTTCTCAGCAGGTGTCTTTTGTATGCCCTCTTGGGCATGGCAGCCCTGCCCTCTCAGCTTTGGGCAGAGCCCTATCTTAATGACAGCATCATACTCTGAATCTAAGGTGGTAAAGAAGGTTCAACTCTTTGAAACTTAGGAGACTGTGGCTCCACACTTAGACACTACAGTTCTTTTGAGAGCTCAGAGCTCATGGCCCTACTTTTTGAGACTCAGGTCAGCTTTGCTTCTCCTGCTCCTTATTGCTTCCTGGTTCCTTGATCTCTAGATGAGGCCAGCCAGGTCTTTGCTCTACTCCAGCATTACAAAATTCTTTAGTTCTACTTATAAGTACCCAGAGTCATTGCACTCCACCAGTTAACTTTGGCCTGAAAACACTGAGCTCTCTAACTCTGTTGTTCAGGGAAACTAACTCCTCCAAAAAGTTTCGAGAGGCTTCCCACTCCACCAGGAAGCCCTCTACATGAAAGTGTTCAGCTCTCTCACTCTGTGGATCAGCTCCCATGCCTTCTGTGTCAGTCTTATGATTCTGCTGCTATGGTTTCTCTGTCACTGCCTTTAGCCATCTGTGACATCTCTGGTGTTACAGCTCTCCCCACTTCTTTCTGAGCTCTCATCAGAATTGCCTTTGACATCCATAATTCCTCCAAGAATCTCTTCTAGGCATTACAGGCTATTACTATTTGGCAGCGTAGTACTCCTATAACCCTTGCTCATTATACAATTCCAAAATCATGGTCACATTTTAGGTATCTGTTAGAGCAGCACCTCTCTCTCCTGGTGCCAAATTCTATCTTAGTTATAGTGCTGCTATAACAGAAACATCACAAGTAATGAACAATTAGAAGTTTATTCTCTCGCAGTTTAGGAAACTAGAAGTCCAAATTCAGAGCACTGACTCTGGAGACAGGCTCTAGTCTCATTTTAACATATGTAGTCATCATTGTTAAATGCCATCAAGTCGATTTTGACCCATAGTCCATTTCTGAACCACCGACCTTGCAATTCAAATGACTTTGCAGCCTGAGGCATTTGCCCACAGTGCCACACCAGGACCCCTTTAGCATATGTAGATCTAGCATTTCTTGAAGTTCTCTGGATGGCTTGGCATCAATGTGCCTCTGGATCTAGGAGCTTCGCATTACAAGGACCCCAAGTCCAAACAATGCACTCTGCTCCCCACTCATCTTTCTTGATGGTACTAGGTTCCTTTTTTATGCTTACTTTCTCTCCTTTTATATCTCAAAGAGATTAACTCAAGATACAACCTAATTCATAGAAGCAAATGGCTGTTGAATGATGTATGGAGGGGATTGTAATCATTGCAATGAAATGAAACAGGATAAGATGAGTACAAAACCTATGTTCTTCCATGTAAACTATCACTCAATTCATAATAAAAACTAAAAAAAAAAAAAAAGATACAACCTAATCCTGTAGATTGCATCTGACTTCATTAACATCATGGAAGTAAGGATTTACAAAGCAAAGGAAAATTACATCACATGCGTTCCCATTATAGGGTGATAAATACATTTTAACTATAAACCACTGAGAATCCCAGCCCATCCAAATTGACACCAAACCTTAACTATCACAAAGGTCAACTCTGTGGAATACTGCAAAGATTAAGTTTGAAAAGAATAAAAGTGGCCATTTTTTATGGCCAAACATAGGTAATTGGTGACCTTGAGCAAAGAAATTTTAAAAGCATGATGAGGAAAGAAACTCAAGTGGATGGAGCATGATGATGAGAGCATGGGAAGAGGAGAGCATGATGAAAAGGGAAGCCCAAGTAAAGCATGATGAGAAAATACAGTTCCTTCTTCATGAAGCCATTGGGTGGGTTAGAGAAACTCCTAGATATAGAAGTGGTTAGTATAGTGTAAGTGCTCATCAATATTATCTGTTGTTGCTAGTGTGGTGGTAGCTGTTTGTGGTTTTTGTTGTTGTCAAAACCATTATCATCAGCAGTATAATTCCTGATGCAATTAAGTATGTAGAATTTAGCTTGGATATGGTGATGGTTCATTTCTGTTATTACTTTTCCCAGCTCCTAGCCAACCTCCAAGGATCATCAGTTCAATAAGGTCTGGTTCACGCTACATAATCACCTGGGATCATGTTGTTGCACTATCAAATGAATCATCAGTTACAGGATATAAGGTATATATATATAAAAGATTGATTACTACATCGTTCTCTGATCGCCATACAAGTTTCATTGTTACTAGGGATGATTGATGCTTGCTGATTTGGCAAAGCTGGCTCAGCTTCTTACTGGAACTTTATAACAGAATTTGATGGCATAGTGCCATATAAAGTTTTTTTATATATAAAATATTTTCAGGGAATTTTTGAATAATGCTATGTCATATATACAAGACCAGTAGAATGACTGCTATAAAGTATAGAATTGTTAGATTAATCAGTGCTTAAAAAAGAAAGAATCCATTTTTGTTTGGCAATAATTAGAATAGAGTTGCACTACACACAGTGAACTCTTGAGTATATTGAATTACCTTCTGCAAAAGAATAAAAATGAGAAATTACTGTTTTTACATATTCTCACATACTCTTCACATATTTCACACTACAGCATTCATCAGTGGAAACTAAGTTCAGGAATAATGTGTCAAGCAAACACTAAACTTATGAGACGATTTCTTTAGACTACTTCAAATTATTGAAAGAGCCCTCCTTTTATACCATTTGATTAAAAAGATAAAACCTTTCCCTTTATTTGGGGTCATCTCAAAAATAAAACTCAGGTGTTATGATATATCATCTTGGATCACCCTAAAAAAATAAGATAAAAACAATTTCTATGAAGTGAAAATAACAAAACATCCATAAATATAGTTTCTTAGATGTCTTTATTAATTTAAAAATGCATCATTTCTATATGGTTTTAGTGTTAAATCAGTGACATGTTATTACAACTTTATTAAATATGCCTATTTGGGAACTTTGTAAGGTTCTCTACAGACCTGATGGCCAACATGATGGAAAGCTATACTCAACTCACAAACACTCCATAGAAGTTCCAATCCCCAGGGATGGAGAGTATGTTGTAGAGGTGCGTGCACACAGTGATGGAGGAGATGGAGTGGTGTCTCAAGTCAAAATTTCAGGTAAGCCAGTCACTGAAAGCACATTTCAATTAAGTACCTTGACATTTCTTGGCCATATGGATGCCCAAGAGTGAAGGTAGGACTTATAGTTACATCGGTGCAAATGTCTAAGTAAATTTGAGAAGCAACTCAATTGCCCCAAACAACAGCAACAAGCCAATATGAAATGTCACGCATACCCAGAAACTTGATATATCTTCTCTTGTTGTTGTCATTGTTGTTATTAAGTGCCATCAAGTTGGTTCTGATCCATAGCAACCCTATATAGGGTTTCTGAGGAGTGACTGGTGAGTTTGAACCACCAACCTTGCAGTTCAGACAACTTTGCTGTCTGACACATTAGCCCACAGCACCACACCAGGACTCTACTAGATCCTTATATAATATTGTATTTCTGACAGCTTTCATTGATGGGAAGTAATTATATGAGAGATTGGTTTCTTCCCATTTTTTTGGATTTGTATTATTTGTTTAAATTTTCATACTTTTTCTTACCTTGGATGTGTGATACTGTTTGCTAAGGGTATGAAATTATTGATGTTGATTTAAGAATTTTAGACTATGGAATATCAAAAGATGCTAAACCAAAGATGGGCATAATTCATGTAGAAGAAAGAAAATTTGGTGATTTTCTTTATCAAAATAAATGAGAAATATATATATAGTTGTTGTTAAGTGCCATTGTGTTGGTTCCAACTCTGTATAGGGTTTCTGAAATGCAGCTGGTCAGCTTGAATTGCCGACCTTGTGGTTAAAACCAACCTTGTAGTCCAGTGCTTGTTCCACAGCACCATGCCAGAACTCCATATATATATATATAATTTTTTAACATAATTTCAGAAATTAATAACTTAAAATGCTAGATTCACCACATAGCTACTTTTTTTTTTTTTAACTTTCTATTGTGAATTACTGAAGGGTTCCAGACAAGACCATCAGTTTTACATCCAACAAATCACATACTTTGTTTCATCTCAATGATTACAATCTCCTCTGTACAATAACAGTTCTCCTACTTCCTCCCTGTACCTTGGATTTCCATTCTCCCCTCCTTTCCCTCCCATCTTAACTTTGTCATTCAACATTTTGTAATTTTCATTTATAGTTATAT